AGGGGTGTAGGCTATAGGCATAACTTCCCCTCGTGCGTGGGCTTACTGAAAGCCATGCGCCCCAGATTGAACCCTTATAATAAGTTACCCACCTGTTCCTCAGATCTTTAAAGCCCACGAAATTGAACCTAATCAGTACCAATCGGATGCAGATCTGTTATGTAGCAGATGGCAAGGCAGCTTTTCCGTGGCTTCTCGGCTCGCAGGGCATTCTGCCCGCAAGAAGAATCCCCCCTCAATTTGACAAATCGGCTCCCGGACGTTTGGGATATTCCAGCTGCATTCATATATTCCCTAAATGTTGACCCTATCCTCAAGAAGTGCAGAGCCTAAACCCTGAACCCAAACCCCTGTATCAATACGTACCAACCATTATAGGGGGTGGATTCCAGTTTTGCCACGGCGGTGGATCGCTTGGCGAACAAAGGCACAAGCTATTCTCAGTGTCGTGATGATGGTTTTCGGGTGCGAGCTTTACTGGGTGGTTGGCTCCTAGCTCTACTCTAGTTCTACTCTGAAGGGCTTAGGCTGTAGGATTCAGGGTTGGGAGGCCCTCACTTGGCGCCAGGCACAAGAGTTCTAAAGCCGAAGGCCCAGGCCCCGGCCCGGCCCAATCCTCCATTTCTACCGTTTGACCACTCACAGAATCCTTGGCCGATGGAAGGATTCAGATTACGGCAATCAGAGCCAACGAGGCTGAATTCAGGGTCTCCCGCGAATGCGGTGGAATTCTTGGGAGCTGTACCTGGCAAATGGAGATTATGAGGCAATGACCAGCATCTTCGAAATCATGGTGCTCAAGTCAAACATCGATTTTTCCCTAAAGGTAAGGCCCGTGCTTTGCTGAATAAAGCAAAGCCAAGCTGTTGTTATCTGCTACCCCGGTAACATCTAGAGCCTCTACCGTTGAAGGAGAACATTCCGGGTCCCAAACAGCAAGACTCGAAGGGTTCCTTTGCCCCGCGAGCATTCTAGGCCCTTACTTGGAGATTCATGGTACAGTACTTAAACCAATTATAACTGTACTTATCACCCACTTATAGGCCCCTTAAGTGCCCCAACGTGGTTCTTAGTACAGTTGTAAATAAGTATCATGAACCTCCAAGTAACTGTGGGCTCGAAGTTCAATTCTGGCAGGGTCGTACGCCGAAACACGATGACCAAGACCACCAAGGAGGCAAGGGAATGTCAGCCTCCGTTTCAGGCTCAATGCTTTCTAGGTCGGTTTTTGGGACACGTTATATTGTCCTTATTTGGGTTTATAAGGGACCTTTCTATAAATACTTTTCAGGGGGTTTAAAGGCCCAACCCAGTTTTTATGGTTTTTAGGGTTTAGGTGCTGGGGGTTTTGGGTTAGTGGGGGCGGGAACTGGTTCGGGCTTTGGACTAGTCGCGCCCATTGACAAGCCACACCCGATGTCCTGACATTCAGAAATTCACGTGACATCCTTGAGTTGTTTTGCATAATCGTGGGGCCTGTAAGGGGGACAGGGATCACTTTGCGTTACCTTGCCATGCATCATAAGAAGTATGGTCCCCAAAAAAACACCAACTACACCCTGCATGGGGGTTTCCGAAAATAAGGGTACCTTGTTGGGGTCAGATTTATGAGAAGGGGATCGTACTATTTGGGGGCATGTAAGGGGTACCCCTATTTTCGGAAATCCCCACATACACTCACCCACCAATTGCCAAACCCTGTTTCATATCCTTTCGGCCCTTACAGAGAGCTCTACCATCAAACGTTCCCCAAAGTGCTCGCAGCTGTTGAACACATACTCTAGGGTTGAGGGTTTGGGGTTTAGGGCTTATAACCCTATACCCTATAAACCCCTATGGGGTTTAGGGCTTGTAACCCTATACCCTATAAACCCCTGAACCCTATACCCTATGAACCCCTAAACCCTAAACCCTATGGGGGCTACACTGGCTACACTCAAAACCCGAGACTTATATTTTCCTCTTCTGCGTGTTTTGTGCAAGGATCTGAGCCCCTCCCAGCATGCGGCCATTGGCGCTGCTGTCGGTTCGGCTGAGCATCCCGGATCTGAAATTCCAGGATTTAGAGTACGGTTTTCTTCTCCTTAGGGGCTTACAGGATTCGCGGGCTTAGAGCATTCAGGATTGTATGATTTCGGGTTTCGGGTTCTTTGGTCTACAGCGTGGGACTTTCACGAGTGAGCTGTTTAAGCCAGCTAGGGCCATCATGGGGGATTCAGTAGAGGCTGCTGGTGTGTTTTTTTTCGCCGGGAAGAGGGTTTCAGGATTCGAGTTTTCGAGTTCGATCGCAAGGCTTTGCAAGTTGCGCGTGGATAGGAGCCTAAAGATTGAGAAACAAGCGGATGGCTGTTGGCAAAAGATGGTTTCAGGATCGGTGCAGACATGTACCCTCCTACGATGGTTGGGGGGCACTACTATAAAGCCTAAACCCTCAGAAGCACTAAGATCGTGGGTTCAGTCGAAGCATTCTAGGTTCTATCCTCACAGAGTAGAGCCGCGACGCCCCCAAATGCGACTGGTTGCCAAGCAGAGCTTTACCCTAAATGGACCTACAGCTAGGGAACACCGAAAGCACTTTACAAAGCCGGGTTGGTGTCGTAGGAGAGTTTTTGTGCAATGGGAACATTAGGACAAACATCAGCAAATCATGTGAGAGTCGAAATCGCACTAAGAAGGCTCGAATCCCTCCAGGAGTTTCCATCTTCCAGCCGAAACCCTAAACCCTGATAAAGTTGCCTTAAATCCTCGGACTTGCCTTGATCACGATCATCCAAGGATGGCGATCATGCGGCCCGCAGCCCCTCCGACGTGCTTTTAACATTGGGTTTAGGGTTTAGGGTTTAGGGTTGAGGGTTTAGGGTTTAGGGTTGAGGGTAGGTTCAGCATGTATCGAGAGGGGACATGAGGCCCATCTGCTCAACTGCAACCTGGATGGAAGCTCGCACACACTGGTGCTGGGAAATTTCACATGCTACATGTATCCAGAGAGCACTTTGCAGAGCCCCTTGGTTCTGCAGTTCTGCCTGAGGTCTTCTGGAAGACCGAGCTTCAACAACAGCGCTTCTCCCTGGCGCGGGCAGTTAATCCAAGCTATTGTCGCATGGCTGGCTCTCAGCCTGCCCCCCATCAACCCAAAAACTTTCGAAGCCTTAAACCCTGCAACCCCTACAAACTACAAACCCTACGAACCCTAAGAACCCCAAGAACCCTCAGACTCCGTTTGGACTGCGAGAGGGTTGAGGCTGCAGGGCAGCTTTGCCCTCCTTGGATTTCCGACATGCCAGTGGCCCCCCTCTATAAGCTTCGAGCGGACGTGGGACGTGCTAGGGTTGAGGACTAAGGGTTTCGGGTAGATTCGACGGATGTGATGGAAAGAGTTGCAGGCTCTTTAATCTGGCCCTAGTAGGTCCTTGGCCCAGGCAGTCTGCAAGCGAGAGGCGAGAGGGAAGGGAGGCGAGAGGGAAGGCGAGAGCGAGAGCGAGCGAGCACCTGGGGATGATCCAGAGGGCCTGGGGTTGCAGTACGACACGAGGGGATGATCCAGACGGCCTGGGAGTATGACATACAAAGTATCTAGTGGCAGCTAGGTGGGCCCAGACTCGGTAGGCACCACTAAGACCCCGAACATTGGGGCAGCCATGAGCGAGAGAGGGAGACAGTCAGCAAACCACGTGCTCAGGGGGTGAGAACCTGGCTTTCGCAAACGTGTCCATAAGGCTACAGAGGGCTCCCCCTGGCGGTTGCCGCCTGGCAGCAATGAGGCAAACGTTGCTGCTCTTTGCAAGGGCGATGGCGGTCGGGCAGGCGTTTAGTTTGTGAGTGCTTCAACACCTAAACATCAGGAACGTTACCCTCCCCGGATTTGTGGCGCTCCCGCTCACCCAATCATGGAATCATGGCTTCCGAGCTGGGGCTCCTGTGCCCTGAGAAAGATGTCTAGAGGGCAGGGGCACCGGTAGGGTTTGGTTTTTTGGGGGGTTTCTGTGACTTCTTTTGGGACCGGAGTTAGCGGGCTTAGACGCTTGGGTTCCCCAGTGGTCTTGCACGGACTGACGAGAACTGGACATTGAGGTTTCCATCGCTCCGATTACATGCATCCAGCCGCTTGCTCAGCTTACAGCCAGCTGCTTGAGGCTTCTTTTCAGAGTTCCCAAAAACACTCGACTACCCTTATGAGCAGTCCTTGAGCACCGGCAGCCTTAGACTGGTTAGTTTCGAGCTTTCGCATGCACACGCACACACACACAGAGACAGGTTCGCTCTTGACCCTAGCCTTCCCCCTGCCCCTCTCCATATTCCCTAAACCCTAAAATTCATAGACCCCAACACCCCCCGAATAGAACCTCGCAACCCTAAAACCCCCAGACCCCGAAACCCCCCGAATAGAACCTCGCAGCTCAGGTTCGGTGCCACAAGCCTCTTCAGCTCTTGCCTCAAGGCCTGGCGCAAGGTTTGGGGGTTTGGGGCTTAGGAGGTCACAGGGTAAAGGTTCAACAGTTTAGGGTTTAGGAGTTTAGGGGTTAGGGGTTTATGGGGTTTTTGGGATTTCAAGGTCTAAGTGGCTGAGGGTTCACCACTAAATTGGGGTTCCTTTCATTTTCGGAGCCTTGTACGTAGGGTGCCCTAACAGGGACCCATCATGTGCGTTGTTAAACACCGCCCTGCACGGCTCGGAGGCGTAATCCATTAGTCAGCCCAGAGATTTTTGGCGCAATGCTTGTGCTATCCGCCCTGAACCCCGATGCACGTCAGACCGAACTGAACGCTAAGTGAAGCCTCAAACGCTTCAAACCTGAGAAATATTCTGCGATAGAGGCCCTCAACCGCAAGGAGCATTCGCTATAAGGGAAGTTCTGGATGTGTGCATGTACGTGTATATATATATATATATATGTATATGCATATATGGCTAAGGTTTAACGTTTAAGGGCAACTACAAGGAGTCTTTCTACTTTAGAAGGCCTGCTGCACCTTGCAAGGCACTGCGGGGCTCTGAGACGATGGCCAGGGATGCAGATGCTTGGTTGGCGAGCATTCAGAAAGTGTCCATGTCATCGGTTCCCTAAGTCACGGTCCCTTCTTTGGTGCGTTTGAAGAAATCAACGGCCCGAATATATGCATATGCATATCTGAATAAATATGTAAAAATGTATATATATATACATAGACAGAGAGAGAGAGAGAGAGAGAGAGAGAGAAAAACAAAGAGAGAGTGATCACACCAAAAGGGACCCGAACAACCCGTGTTGCTTTTAGGGTCTGGCGGGTAGGGTAAGTGTAGGGCGAGCCTCGGGCCACGCTCCTAAGGCTCTTCTAGTTTATGCTTGCTTTGGGTGTTTGTGAGTTAGCGCCCTCAGCCCCCAAATTCTACACCTTGGGCTTAGACACAGGCTTCTATGTAGTACCTTTTTGGGGTAGTATACTAGAATCCCCTATAACCCAAAAAGGAACTACGTTGGAGCCTTTGGGTAGACACCAGACCCCGCAAATCCCAAAATCCTAGCAGATCCGAGGACAAGATCATCGCCGCGGTGATGGCCGGAGTTGCACGGTTAGAAGTCTGCGGGTTAGGAGAGCTCTCCGCGTTTTAGAGCTTAGAGTTTCGGGTTGAGGGCAAGCCTTATAAACCCTGTAAGCCCCAAACCCTAAACCCTGCACCCGTGAGGGCTGAAGTACTTGTTATGGTTCGAGTCAGGGTTGAGGTGGAGAGCCGGCTTTCAGGGGATTTTTGCGGGCCTGTCGTCTCGACTTTGGCATATGGTGCCTATGGAGTTTGGAGTTTAGGGCTTAGAGGGTAGGGTTTAGGGTTGGGGTTTGCGTTGCTTTTGTTGGTGAGTGTGCATGTATGGGAGTCTTGTTTGGGGACACTAATGAAAACCCTACTTCGTGTGCTTGTGCCATGGGGAATTGCCCGTTGTGCGAGGTCTGGTCTGCAGCACTGATTTCACAAACTTGCAGAGCGCTATGGGACCTGGCAACTGTGGCCTCAGCCCATTCGTCCAGGGTCCCTGTGCCTGCTCTGAGTCACAGGCCCCCCTAAACGCTAAACCCTCAACCCTAAACCCTACACCCTACATACACCCTATACCCTGTCGGGAAATCGACGATTTACAAACGGCCAAAAGGAGAACACACCGTGCAGCATGTTCAGCTGAGGCTGCATCGGCGCTCATCCAAAGTCCAACTCAGCTTGTCGAGGCGGGCATCTGCGATCACATTTGAGCCATAGGGTTTAGGCTTTAGGGTTGAGGGTTTAGGGTTCAGGGTTTAGGGTTTAGGGATTACGGCTGATTTCTTTAAGAATGTGTCAAAACAAGACAAGAAAGCAGCTCTTAGCCGGGTCGTTCAGGACATGCAGGGCCTCATCTCAGATCAAGCACCTATGAACAATTTCTACTCGCAAAGCCTCGTGCATGCAACTTGAACCACCAGCTTCGCACAGTTGAGCCCCGGGTGGCCTGTATGAGACGCGGGTTGAGGGACAGAAATACATACAACTGTACACATATATTTTTCTATATATATATATATATACAAGGATTTTAGGACCAGTGTGAGTTCCATGGCAATTACAGATGTATATGTATATATACATACATACATACATACACACGTTTTTCTTCTGCTGTTGGTTGGTATGTATTGTGCGTGGCGAGGTCAACCAGTCGAACCATGGCTCCTCGATGATTGCGACGGCCAGGCGCATTTTCCACCTCCAACACCCCTTTTAGGGTTTAGGGTTTAGGGTTAGCAAACGCATCTACGCTTGTTGTCCTATGCTGCCATCCCCTCCTCACCCAGCCACCTGAGACAAATGAGCCCGTGGGCTGGGACAGTTGGAATCTTTGTCTCATGATGTCGTCTCCATCACGGCTAGCGTAGGTTCAATCATCATTACACGTCAAATCCCAGGTTCATGTTGTCGTGTTGGCAGGAAAGTCATCGCGCAGAATGGCGTGCTGGGCCTCTATCGGGGCTACTCCATGGGCGCCACCCGAGAAGGTACGGACACCTGATGCTCTCATCTAGGTTGGCCCAAGTTTGTTGGGTTTAAGAGGATCATCTTCAGGAATAGTTTTCAAATGGTTTTATGGGCCATCCTATCATGTGTGTTTCGCAAGCATGCGAGAGACTGGCTTTCAGCGCTGACGTTCATCGCCGGGCGGCTTCTTGTCTTCCGTACCCGTACCACAATCAGCAATGTCACTATGATGACTAATTGACACTACATGTTCCATACCACATGCAGTTGATCTTACATTATTTTTCCATTATTTAACATCTAATCATGACCAAAGGTTTTTGAGGTGGTTTTATTAGGGTTTCTTGGTTGTGGGTTTGGGGTGCGAGGCTCAGAGTTCCCAGGTAGGGAGGCCAGGGCCACCTTGAAGGTCTATGAACCTTACTTTGGCACACAAAACACCCCCCCAGCCCACTGGTATCGTATGATCAAATTGTCCGAAGATCGTCCCACTTGAAGGTTCATGGCTAGCATTCTTGGGGTTGTGCCTACCGTAATCGTTGTGATGCAGATACAAGGCCCGCTTATGGCCTGAGCTGCAACACCTCGGGTCACAGGCATATTCTGCAGCTCCTACATCGCAATCAACCCCTCGATCAAGAAGTGGATGAAGGAAAAGCGACCGGCGACTTGGTACGGCCTGAAGCCGCGTCTTGAAGCCCAAAAATACCCGGAACTCACAGATCCGCAAAGAAAGCTCGAAACGTGCCAGACTCTTCCAACCCGTCCTTTGGATGCTTCTGACTCTGCAGCAATACCGCAATACCTCACGACCGTCACCCCAGACTGTAGCATAACCCCGCCCAGCGGGCAAACACACCCTGGTGCTACTTTGTGTCCTCCCCAACCCCAAACTAAGGACCTCACTACTTTTCCTCCGGTCTAAGAAAAGCACAAGTTCAAGGCCTTATAGGTATATGTGATATGTCATGGGTCATGAGCTATGACATGGGTTCTGATGAGAGAGAGTGTGGGTTAGAGCTTCCGAAGCCCAGAAGCTTAAACCAGACGATAGGTGCGGGAGGCAGCTGCACTCTGCCAGCCGGCCTGCATGTACCCACTACAGGCTGTGGGATTTTCGAATATGCCGAGCGAGACGTGGAGATGGCCCTAACCCGACAAGCCCTTCACAAATGAAACCTACAAATCCTCGGCTCAAAACCCTGCAAACCCTACAAAATCCACAAATCCCCATAGAACACCTAATGAAACCCTCAGCCGCTAGCCGCCAAACCCCCTAAACCCTACACCCTAAACCCTTTTTTCCTCATAAGGCTCCTTACCTGCTCCTTAAGGAACTCTCCGACGGCGCTGCGACAGTCGTGGCCTCCGTGGCGCAGCTTTAACTCATGCTCTCTGGGATGCTTAATAGGGACTGTAGTACCCCCTTTTATCATCCCCATTAAGGACGATTAGTAGAATGGGGAACATCCCAAGATGTTCATGCCACACCTTGGCAGTTCGCAGAAGAACAGTTGCCCCCTCCAGTTCGCGGCGTCAACGAATTCCACCTTGCACACGTGCTCACGGACCCATGCAGGGGTAAGCTGGATTCGGAACTTCTCAGATATGGTCGCCCTAGAGCCCTGAACACAGCCCTGAACGGGAAATGATTGAACACATGCCGATGCAGAAATGCGCCAGAATCCTACAGTCGGTTTGCCGAACCCGTGCCCTTTCGCATTCTTTAGATGTGGGAATATGCCTTCATTGACTCAAGCATGTTTTTGCACTCGACAGCACATAGGTTTTCGAGACGGTATCGTGTTATCGGATTTGCCTTTTGGCTTGGAACGTGGATGCCTTGGAAAATCTTGGAAATGAGTTTCGCTCAGCTTGCTCAAGGGAGATGAATGTTCAACCCGGGTAGTCAGGCAGACACACTCGCCTATACCACATTGATCATATGGTGCGAAAACCATTGAAAAATGCACTTGCCCCACCAAAGCTGAAACGCAGCTCCCTCACTTCCGGCGAAGACCTCGAGATTAGAATTGAGCCGCTGGCCCACACTAGGCTACATCTGATACCGCCGTACATTCCGAATTCAACTCTGCGCCCTAGACGTATGAACCTTGCACCTTTCACGCCATGAACGCGCCAGGGTTTCAGAACATCGTTTTGCTGAAGTCGGCCGAATCCCCAAATTCTTCTAGAACTCACTGCGAGGAAGCTCAGGTGAGGCTCATGTTCCTTTTCGGGGCCTTGGGTTCTTGCAGAAAGCTAGCCAAGAGAAAGAGGAGGCTCTCGTAGTATGGTTGCTGAGGGTTTACCCCCTTCTAACCTGTAGGTGGCCTCCGGGTCCTTGGGCGCTGCACTTTCCCATCCTGCGGACACACTGAAGACGCGGCTGCAAGCGGGAGTGGCTCGGTGGGGGTTTCTTAGGGGTTCCCTGGCTCTGCTCGGCTCACTGAAGTTGGACCTTGGAGAGAGAGGCTTGACTAGTTACTATAGTTCAATATTAGGGTCCCGATTCGGGGACCGTTTCAAAGGGAACACTGGAGAACTTGTAGTTTGTAGTTTGCGATGACATGCGCTTGGCAAACACACCCTCAAGCAGAACTACGCAGATTCACATAGGACTTGGGTTGGATGCACTTGGAACGCAACACACAAGCCCCGGAATTCCTCACTTTGTTAAGCGTACACATGAAGTTTCAGTTGCCGTATGGAGGCCACCGCAAAGTTGAAGCATAGACCTTTATAAAGCCCCTCCCCAAGGCGCTGCCGCTTCGTGCGGGTGAAGCTGCGGAGGTCTCTTCCCTCGAAGGGTCCAGGGTCGAGGGTTTAGGGTTTAGGGTTTACGGTTTAGGGGTTTGTCTTGTGGGTTCTTGAACATGAAGGGTCCTCCTGTTACGCATGTAAAGGGTATCGCTTAACTCTCTTTTCATAAGCAGCCCATATGGGTTCAAGTGTTGGATTTCAGGCTTGTGGGCGTTCACGGTAGAGTCGAGGGTAGATGGCAGCCATTCTGTCGCACGACCCGAAGCGGTCGCCCACCTATCCTGTCCATCCTCTCTTAATGATTGAACCCTGGAGAGCGAAAGCCCCCAACCCTAAACCCTAAAACCCAAAAACCCTGAACCCTAAACCCTAAACCCTAAACCCTAAACCACCTGAACCCTGATAACGTCAGCCGCAAGAATGAGGCCACGCGGATCCGGGGACCTTGGCAAGCCCTGCAGGAGCGAGACTTCCTTTTCGGATGCTAATGTTCTAGCGCCTGCAAAGCCTGTAATGCCTAGAAAACCTTAGGCTCCTAGACCCTACAGAGTCCCCAAACCCTAAACCCCGAAAGGTTTCCTTGTCGACCATAAGTTTGAAGCCCCTAAACCTAAAGCCCTGAAGCCCATACATCCCGTGAATCTTCAAACCCTAAAGTCCTCGAGTCCAAAAGCCCCTAAACTGCAAAGGATCCATTCTGCAGCCCCCCTCCCCCCCGCAAGGCGCGCAAATGCGCAAATCAGGAGAGTAGCGACACTCATCACCTTAAGAGTGTATGAAGGTGAATACCTGGGATTCAGCAGGTGTTTCTTGTGGACTCAGGTGTTTCTTGTGAACTCACACTGGCTTTGGAGAGCCTTCGTTCGTGCCCAGGGTGTCGGGTGGGCGTACGCAAGCTTATATGAACAGTGATCAATAGGGATTATAGTACCCCCGTATTATAAATACTATGAGGCCTATGTTAATTGAGGACGCTTAGCCTCCAGCCTTTGTGTCAGTTTGCGCGTCTGTGAACAAGTGCTTCATCTCAAAAGGACGGCCACTGCTGACAGCCTCGGCAACCCAGATACCGCCACACCCTGAACTCCAAACCTTAACGCCTAGACGGAAGCTTCAGTGCACCCTAAAAGCTGCAGTACGCCGGTGACTGCAGCTCGGTACAAGAGCCCCAAACCCCCCAAGATCCCCAATCCCAACCCACATTTCTTTGTACAACCCTAAGCCAGGACCTTCGCTTGAAGGGCAACCTTTGGTCCCAATGCTATGCAGGCAGGGTGCTGGCTGAGGGTTGGCACTCACTTGGGGGTTGCTTCTTTAGGGGGAGCCTGCGACACTTGAGGCATAGAGGGGGACCCTAATGCCGGGAAACTCCCTTCAGGTCCGGGCCAAGTTGCAGACCTACAGGAGAAAGCCTCGGCTATCTTGAGGCTTGAGAACCCTGAACCCTTTTAGCCCTAAGCCCTGGCATCCCTGATCCATCTTGAGAGTTGCTTGGTGTGCCGGGGGGCTTGCGGGGGAGTGCGGGCCAGCCATCCCGCAACCCTAAACACTGAACCCCAAGCTTTATGAGTTCAGGGTTCAGGGCTTAGGGTTATAAGGGCTTATACCGAATCCCGAATTTAGGTAGCACCTGGCCATGTGCAGGCTTCTCCCCACGACTCTTTCGCCTGGTCTGCTGCACTTACATCTACAGCTGGAGCCTTGGGAAACTAAGCAGGCAACGCAGGGATTGGCGTTTAGGCGTTTGTGGGGTTTTGGGTTCCCTCCCCCAAAAAGCCATAGCAAAAATCTAGGTCGAGGGAAGGACCAGCCCACCCCAGTACGGCCACAGGCCATGTCAGTTGACTTAAGTAGGGTCCTTTTATACCCCCCCCCTCCCACTGCCCCCCCCCACCCTCCTAATAAGGAGGCAGCAACAAAGAGTCCTGTTTTTGGAACCACCGATGTACCAACGATTGCACGATGCCCAATGATGCCCAACAATACCAACAGGGTTGGTTGCATTAACACCAAACCGCCCGCAAGTAAAGCAATATGAATGCCAGAATAATGCTGAGTGTCTGCTGCAATTTTGCAGTAAGCTTTCGGCATGTTTCCGCATGTTTTCAGAGACCGAAGATACCACCTCTGTGAGTAATTAACCCTGCTTTCACAAAGGTCTAAGCGCCAAAAAAAAAACTGTTCGCTAGTTGTTCGCCTGTTTGGAGCGCGTGGCAGCCCACCAGTTCCTGAAAAAGAGGCCCTTTCTAGGGCTGACTACGACAAGTATATGGCCTAATCGCCATGCCTGGCAGGGATTTATGGAAAGCAGGCCTTGGGTGCCCAAAAAGGGCTTATCGGGTTTAGGGTTTAGGGTTTTCGTAAACCCTTATAAACCCTATAGGGCTTATAGGGATGACATGGGGTTTGCAGGATGTACTTAAGCTACACAGGGTTTGAGGGCTGGTTTGTGCGGCTTTGTGGTCTGCCTGGGGTGATGAGAAGCCCTACACTCACCTGCGTGGCTGCTCCCACCGAAAAGCCTCCTAAACCCTAAACCCTAAACCCTAAACCCTAAACCCTAAACCCTAAACCCTAAACCCTAAACCCTAAACCCTAAACCCTAAACCCTAAACCAGGCACGCTGACGGATGCTTGCGAGGCATTCTGCCGATCCAACGCTGCGCACCCAGGTGATGGATCTGCCCTTAACCTATATCCAGTCTGGGAATTATTTATTATTTTCGGTTTAGGGTTTAGGGTTTAGGGTTTAGGGTTTAGGGTTTAGGGTTTGTTTTTACAGAAACCCACGAGGATATTAAACATATTATTTTTAGGTTTTGTTGAGGTTCTAAGGGGAGTATAGTAAACCCGAAACCTTTTCAACTCCAAGTCAACCCTACAGCTCCAGCGCTAGCTCCCTCAATCCTGCCCCATGGTGACCCTCGTTTCGGTGGCTGCCGTTGCTGCGCAATCATGGTTCCAAGCTGCCGGTGGCAGGGTTGGGGATGGGGGCTTGGGGTCAAGAGTATGAACACAGAGTTCTTACTTCCGCGCGTCAATATTTCTAGGATCACGGCCCAGTTCTTTCCATTCAGCTGAGGCCAGAAGCCTTCAGGCAGTTGTGCCATGATCTTCTATACTTGACGACCCTATGCCCTGCAACCCACAGCTATAAGATACATCACCGTAGAAGACCCCCCCCCTGAACCTACAAAATAACTATACTGATAATGAGAACACTAGTAGTAGTAATAGTAGTCCTCAGGCAGAATTCGAACTCCGTAGCCGTAACAAGCAACCCAAAGGCCCTATATCCTGAACACCAAACCCAGCAAACCCCTTTACCTCAGGGAAACTTGGAAGTAACTTGAATCTTTTGGGTACTATCATTCCTAAGAAGCAGCAAGACTTAGAGTTTTTGCTAGGGATTCCAAGTTCAGCATAGTTCCCAAGCTCCGAAAAGAGCTGCTTAAAGGTTCACGGTACTTACTAACCAATTATAACTGTACTTATAGCCCTACTTATAATACCCCTAAAAGGCCTTATAGGGGTTCTCCCAATTATAAGTAGGGTTATAAGCCCAGTTCTAAGTGGTTAGTAAGTACCATGAACCTCCAAGTGGGCTCAGGCTGGCCTCACCCTACGCGGCCAACTCCAACTCTCAGTGGAGCCACTCTCGTGAAGAACGCCCTACTAGGACGCCAAGGGTTAGGGTTTAGGGTTTAGGGTTTAGGGTTTAGGGTTCAGGGTTTAGGGTTTAGGGTTTAGGGTTTAGGGTTTTAGGAAGGGTGCAGAGCTTTAGTGTTTCAGGGTTTTGGGTCTGCTCTACCCTGGTTCCTTACTTTGGTAGCTGTAGTTAAGGGACTACTAAGCCATGATACGTCAAACCCAATCCAGGGCCTTCAGTTCTTCTCACATACTTGCAGTGTGCTCCTTGCAAGTACCCCACGAAGAACCCTAATCTCCAAGATGCGGAATTGTAGCCCAGAATGAGAGTCGACAGGCTTTGAAGGCCGCTGCTTGCTTTAAGGGAAGTGTGGGTACTGTTGTCGCGTTTTTTTTGTGAGACACCTTTGAGACTTCTTGCTTCCGACTGTGGCGTGCTTGTTTCCAGGGGAGCAGAACATCCGTGAAGCATATCCATTGCCCGGATGTCCGCGCGACACAGCCGACAAGCTGGATACTCTAGAGTCAGATCCCTTCAGCCGAACCCGCAAGGCCCTTAGCATCAGGGTCTTTCGAAACTTCACCCTTCCTGGCCAGGAACTTCGGAACGCGCCGCGAAGTTTTGCTGAGTATTTGACAAAATATCTGAGGCAACAATACTTGCTCTTGGAGCTGAGCTTCGAACAGCTGGAAGCAAGCTACATTGTACATTTGCCTCGTCACGTGGCACTGGGCCGCCGGCAGATTGTAGTTATGTAGCGGTACACACACATACGGAATATATATATATATATATATGTCCATATACATATATATACATGTATAAATATATATATATATATACTTATAATTATAAACATATAGTAAAATGCAAGATTGCACGTATACACACGATTTATATATAGCGTATAAAATTCGATATAGATGTATCATATCTCTATTATGCAACATATGATGTACACTAGAAGACAAACAATGTATATGGTATAGCATATAAAACATTGGGTGGGTTAAGACTTAAGATGGTGTAAGGCAAGGTTCCAGCAGATGGGAGACTTCTTATGAAGCTTTACTGTAGCTGGCCCAGAGAATGCGAGGAGTTTTCGCAGCCGTTGCAATTCGAAGGGATTCCGTGAATGCCTCCAAGGCACCTTTAGACACCCCCTGAAGCAGAGAAAACCGGATGCGGGGTTTAGGGTTTGGGGTTTATGGTGTCTCTTCATGACTCCATCTCTAGCATAGGAGGAGGGTGGTTGAGATTGCAAGTATAAGAACGCCAGTGAATTGGGAGATGCGGATGCAGCTTCTAAGCCCGACCTCCTAAAATCCCGCAAATGCCCTCGAGGGCCCGGGGTGCAAAGAGCCCGAAGCCCCAAACCCTTGCGTGGCAATCTGGGATCTCTCCGGCCAGTGATCTCGGGATGCCATAGAAGCCTCTGTACATTATCCGGACAGATCAAAAGGGACTCCGCGGGTCTGGCGCCCGGGTCGCATGGCCTCTTAGTTAGATAACCTGAGAGACCTCACATCATTTGTTTGTGTAAAATATATGGGGACTTGTTAGTTATGATGACTATTATACATTATGATTCTGGTTGTTACTATTGTATGAATATGTAAATAAGCATATCTATATATATATATGCGCACACATAGTCTTTGGGGGTCCTTTCGCACTGAAAATGGAATGAAATCCTCACCAGGTCACCAACCCCGCGCTATGAACCCAAACGTCTCTGCAATGAGTTCTGGATCTATGATGTCAGATGGTGCATTGTGGGTCATGCGGCCACCTGTTTTCTAACCGAGCTGACTTCGAAGCTAGCTGCTCGCCCTGCTCCTAGACCCACTGGCCGAGACCCTGCGTCAGAGTCGTGACCGTGAAGTGTCCGGAACAGAGCAAGGTGCATGTTTTTCTTGGTGCCCCCGGCAGCACACAGGCATCAGTCATACAAAGCCGAAGGTGCTGAACTCCTGAGGGCAGCCTGGTATGAGCTTTCAGCGTGTCAAAGTTGACGGACTGGGACTCCACGTTTGGATTAATGTCTTATGGAACATCAATCTAGTAAATATCAACTTCTTCGCAAGCTTGCAAACTCTGGCTCTACGCCAACAGCTTCATTCCTTCGTACTTGGGGCCGGCCACCCTGTTCCCCCTTATCCTAAGAGTCCTTAATAGGGCTTAATGGGGATTATAATTGGGGGTACCATAAATCCCTATTATGGACTGTTGGGAAAAGCGGGGACATCCCAACCTTATAGCCTGAACGAATGCAGTGATGCTTATGCAAATGTGACGCCAGCGCACCGCCCACCGAACCTTCAGAGTGAGTTGAGGTTGCTCTGCAGCCCACCCTAGTGAGGCAACATGTAGACCATGGAGCTGGGCAAGCGGCTTGTCAAAACACAAGTCTGTCACGGGTTTTCGCGGCTCAACTTGCAGACTTCTACACGGGGCTGGTAGGTATGGATTTCTAGCATCTTCCTCAGTCACACTTTAGGGCACCCCGGGGGCCCATGATTTTGAATCTCGCAGGTTGCAGGCTTCATGACAGATGCACGTGCTGCCGGGTGCACGTTGGCCACGGAAGCCAGATCTCGGCTGAGTTGTAGCTGAGAGCCCAGTGTGGAAGTGCCCCATTGCAGGACGGCATCGGTTCCGCCCAGCACTGGGGACCCACAATTACTCTTGCGGCTTATGTCGGGCGGGTGGTGCTCACAGCAGCTATGAGTGCTGTAGCATTGGCTCGTCTGCCAGGATGGGCCTACTACTGATAATCCTCATAATCATCACTGAAGCGTTTACAAGACTATATGCAGGCTATATGCAGAGGTTATGGATTCTTTCCATGCTTTGCCGAACCTGAGTCGGTGTGCTGAGATGCTGGCTTCCAAGCCAAGGAAACCATTGGCTGCCGCTGCATGTAAAGGCATGGCTTTCAGGAGCTGCATAGCGCGGTGACGGAAAGAGATGTCGGATACGTCGCCTCCAGACATGGTAGTTGCGACATGTCATTTGCCATGCCACAATGGCGGGGGCAGCTTGGGAAAACGGCGCAAGCGCCCCATCATCGCCACCACCGTCATCGACAGAAACTCATACGATATGAAAGCAAATGTCTACATCATTTCAATACTCAATATTTGTTGTATGCTCCCTGCCTTGGCATGACACCCCGAAAATTTTCGCAGGCCAGGAATTGCTGGTCGTCATCTTTTGCCAGTGGGAATCGTGGACAGGCGAATTCCCTCCAGCGGAACTTAGCATTTCTTGCGATGATCTCGAAGCTATCAGCTAGTGGTGTGCTTCATGTCTGGAGTTCAGGTTCCTCTTGACCCGCATCAGTAGAGGGATGGGGATACAGCTGAGGGTTTTGGTTTACCACAGGGTTCGGATGCGCCCCTTGTCACCGTAATGAGCCGACTTGCCTTGCAAGTCGTTCCGAATTACAGGCCTTCCCATGTCCATGCAAGGCCCACTGAAATACCCCAGTACTGCGCATTTGTAACGCAAACTTCTGCTACTGCCTTTCTCGCTTGAAACCAGAAGCGGAGGGTCAGTGGCTGCGTCAGCGCTATATTCTTTCAATGTATCTGAAGGTCCGGGCACCGAGCCCCTTGTAACCCTGTAGCCTCTAATCCTTACAAGCCCTAGGGCCCTATGAGGCCCCATAAAACCCATAAGTCGCCCTATGAACCCTCCAACATCCAACCCTAGAAACGATCAGGTCAGCCCTCTGTGTCTTAAACTCTAAACTATACTCTAAAGCTCTAAGCTCATCTTAGCAGCTGAGTAGGTAACCTTGAACCTTTTGGGGCATCTATAATCCTACCAAAGGAGAAAGCTTAACCTTTTTTGGCCCAGGGTACTCAACAACTAGGTCATGAATCCTAGAACTCTAAACCCTAAACCCTCAAACCCTAAACCCTAAAACTGTACGCTAAAGCCCTTTAAACTCCTTCATCCCTGGAAACGATATGACGTTTGTTTTTTTTTTCGGTGCTGGGACCTGTGCGGCCGGTGCTCAGAGCGACTCTGACGCTGCCTCCCTGGCTCTGCGGGTGGATCCAGACGGGGGGCTTCCAGGGATTTTTAGGGTTTAGGGTTTAGGGTTTCGGGTTTAGGGGCTATGAGGGGCTATATTAGGGGCTATTAGGGTTTAGGGGTCAATTGGGGGGTAGTAGGGGTTTTTAGGGGCTATTAGGGTTTAGGGGCTATTAGGGGTTTAGGGGGCTTCCAGGGCTTTTTGGGGGCTATTCGGGTTTAGGGGTTTAGGAGTTTAATGAGGGGTTTAGGGCTATTAGGGTTTGGGGGTTTAGTTTTAGGGGTTTAGGGTTTAGGTGTTTAGGGGTTTATTCCTTCAACGCAGCACACACAGAACCTGCAACCAACTGAAGTTTCAGTTAAGTTCTTCAGTGCTTTCGCTAGAGCTCTGCCTGAAAAGCAGTGGGGTCAGGTTGCATGGAGAACGATGGCGTGGTAATCCTCTTGTCGCTTTAGTCCCCGTTATGGTTGAGTTGACGGGGTGCCTGTTGATCATGCATCCGCCTTCTGAGCCGGCAAATACTTGCGACGAGCTGCTCACAGATCCGCTGGCAGCAAAGATCGGGAGCTGGGAGCTGGGCCTGTGACCTGATTGAGCCTAGAAGCCCTATCGACCCCGCCTAGTTCCTCCCTTGCCCGCTCGGGAGCAACAGCCTTCTAACGTGGTGGGTTCCGAGGCACGAAGAGGGGTATCTTTCGCCATGAGGACGCTACGAGGTGAAGGCTTTCTTGAGTCCACAGGGATTTGCCGTAGATTGCACAGGCAGCTGCGCGCGAACTTGCATGTTCTTGCTGCTGGCTGGCACCTTCCAGAGTAAATTCCTGCAGTTGCATCTACGAGCACAATCCTTGACGTGACAATCTGGCGAAGTCAGAGCAATTTTTGAGAGCATCCGAGGAGCATCCTTCCACTTCCTTCATCTTTCACGTAACTCTGCCTGGACAGCGCAGTTTTTGAGAAGCTAGTCCGAGCAGTCCTGGCAACACGGTGCAGGCATCGTCGGCTGAAGTGGGCAGCTACCGGTTACTTTGCCTTCAAGAGTTGTCGAAGGATTCTGGTCGAATAGTCTAAAACTTTGAAGCATTACGGGGGCAGGATGGGGCTAGGCAGCAGGATCGGTGTTTGGGGGTTTGCGCTGCGCTATGGCATGGCTTTCGCGCAATGGCCTCAAGCCCAATTTTGTAACTAAAAGGTAAGGAGCACGTGACGCACGCTTTTTGTGCGTAAAAATTAGGCTTTTGAGGATTCACGCTGACTCAACTTTCGAGCCTGTCACCAAGCATCTTCTGAGAAACAGATAATATTGTAATAGGTAGCAGCGATAGCAGCATCTTAGTAAGAATATCCACCAACATAACAATGATAGTAGCAATAGTTGTCGCAATACCTAGCTTTTTCTAGTAATAGTTCAAATCGAAAACAGTATAATAGCAGCATAGTAACAGGTCGAATAACATCAAAAGTTGTAGTAGTCATGATCATCATCATAGCTATCAGAAGTACAACAATAACAATAGCAATAACCAAACCATAAATTGCAATGGTTAAAATACAGTAGAGCAAGATAAGCGAGAAACCCTGAACAATCAATAACAGAAAAGTTGCAATCACATTAACATCAGCCCCCGTCGCTAGCGGCTGGCAGGCTTCGCGAGCTTAGAGTTCAAAAATGGGAGGTAGGGCGCCCTGAACCCGACTCCCTGATTTTTGTCGCTAAGTCTCTTGCTCCGAGTTGCGAGGCCGGATGTTTCGAGACTTACCTCGGAGGAAGCCAAAGAGAGGCCAGAGACCTAGCCGGCTCGAGTGCTGTGCAGGGCCCCGTCTCGGGAATAGGGATTATACATTCCGTTAGCTGCCTGTGTTTCGCTTGCGATGCACCGCAGCTCAAGTTGGACCCAAAAAGCAAAGCGGAAGAGCCGCGCTTCTCTCCAGCTATGCACGCCTACAGCAAACACCAAGCGGGGGAGGAGGCGTCAGCGCCCATGTGGGTCGTCCACGTGAAAGATGTGCTCAAGATGCGAGGGCGTCCTGAACCTCACCAAACATTGAAGAAGGCTGGGATCCTCCTGGAGCGGCTGGCGGGCTACAAGGTCCTGTTCGTGTCTCACCAATGGCAGAGTTTCTCACACCCTGATCCTGAAGGGAAACAGCTACAGGTGTTGCAGGAAGCTTTGTTGAACATTATCAACTCAAGAGTCAAGGTGGAAATGGAGTTCCTTGCGCAGTTCGAAGGCTACTTCCGAGTGCTGTCAGCAGAAGAAGGCAAGCAGCTGGAGAACGCGTACATTTGGTTCGATTGGTTTTCGGTGCCTCAGACAGAAAATATACCTTCTTCGCAGATTGAAGAAGTGCGAGCCTTGCAAAAGCGACACATCTTGTCCATTCCACGCTACGTGCAGTGTTCCCAAGTGTTCATGGCACTGGTCCCCCCGCTTCGGCACTTGGAAACAGGAATCCCATGTGACTACCACAGCTGGCTGGGTCGGGGGTGGTGTAGAACTGAGATGTGGTGCAAACTTCTCGACCCGGAGCCCTCCATGCCCATCATGGTCGCCTTCTCAGCCGCAAAGGTGGAGTTCGTCGGTTCTTTGAGTTGGGTTCGGTCACCCGTGCATGAAGGCAACTTCGCTGTGGAGTCTGATCGGAAAGTTTGCAGCCAAGTGGTGCGGACCGCCATCGATACTTACCTCGCCCATCTCCGCGATAACGACAAGGTTGGCAATCTCTTCCGCTACTTCGCAGGCAGGTATGAAAGCTTCTCGGGGTTGTCCCCTCCCGCAAGAAGCTTGGAGGACTTTCTGCAGACTTTTCGGTTTCCTTCCTTGGATGCCGCCCTGAAGCAGCAGAAGGGCATGGGAGCGGTGGCATGTGCAGCAATGTCTGGGGATGTTGGGCTGCTACGGCAGTTGGTCAAGATGAAAGCGCCCTTGGACACCAAGCTGCAAGGCCGAGTCATGTAATCATGTAATCTGCATTGCCGGCGTAAATCTCCACGGCGCAGCCCCCATAACAGTAGTTGAGGATTTCTGAGGGCAACGGGCCACGAAGTCTCAAGTGTGTGACTGAGTCAAGGGCAGATACAAGTAAGAACTGTCAGGGAAGCGCAAGTACCTCAACAGAAACATGGCGAAGCACGTCAAACAGTTCGTTTCCAGTAGCTGTGCCTTGTTGTCAGGCCTTTGGGAAGTTGCATTGCCAGCCGGTTCGAATGCTGTGATCGTTGCGGCAACTTGCGGGAAGTGGAGCCACGCGGCCTTGGCGGAGATGCTGAAGCTGAAGGCAGATCCCAACAGTGCTTGCAATTCTGGCGGGGCAGCACTGTGCTTCTGCACAACTCCTGAAGGAGTCGAGTTGCTGGTGAGCCAGGGTGCAGATGTAAATCTGCGGAATCCAGTCGCAAAGTGCTCTGCCCTTTGTGGTCAGCTGATTCGTGGCGGGAACACGAAGACATGTGCCAAATTGCTTGAACTCCGTGCGGATGTGAGTGACAGCGACGGAGGCCTTGGTCAAACTCCTCTTCAGTTTCTTCTCCTGTCGTACTCCGACAACGCCGAAGGTCTAGAGACTGCGAAAATGCTTGTGAAGGCTGGGGCCGATGTCAACAAGCGTGGAAAGAGTGGTGGAGTCTTCCGACCTCTGACGGTCGCCTGCCGTACTATGAAGCTTGCCCGCAAGAATCCTTCTTTGCTGGTGTCGTATATGGCGGAGATGAGCACGACAGCGCTGGGCACGGCATGTTACTACGGCATTCCAGAGATGGTCAAATTTCTTCTCGCAGCCCGCGCCGACCCTGACATCCGCAATGACCGTGGCCGTCCAGCCTACGCTCTGGCGCGGCATGAAAGTATCCAGGAGATTCTCTACGACTTTCGGAGTGGAGGCAAAGAGTGGGAAGAGACCCTGCAAACCAGGGAGTCATCTGAGCAAGCTGCTGAGGAACCTGGCATCGAAGAAGCCGAACTGATCGAAGTGATCTTCTAACAGATTTTTCAAATTCTGCAGAAGCAGTGGCTTGCACCTCTTTTTGTGTGAACCGGAGTCGAGGGTTCATGCTTTTTTTTTGAAAGTAGCACGAGGTGCAGGATGCCTTTTTTCCTTTTTCTGCCAGGCAGGTCCAGCCTCTCGTGCAAAGAAGGCATGCAAATTCACACATGTCTGCGACGCACCGGTAGCTACGTCAGCCCAGTATCGCTATTGGGAAGCCTTTGGCGCAGCCCCCACTTTTTTCACTTGGACTTGCGTCCCGGCATGGACGGACTATGGCAACCCCAAGGATGACTTGTCAAATAGGATTTAGGGTTTAGGGTTTAGGGTTTAGGGTTTAGGGTTTAGGGTTTAGGGTTTATATGCATGGAACTGCTAGTAGCTGGGACGCAAGTGATGGTGCTAGCATGCATGACCTCAGACCATCTCAGACCTCTGTTTCGAAGTCAAAAGCGGTCTTTGCCTGCTGTGCGCACTCCTGAAGCGTCCCCATTTGCATCCTACACCCTAAACTCGAAACCCTAATCCTCTTTAAACCCTAAACCCGAAACTCGAAGCCCTAAACCCGAAAGGGCCTCTGAGTTCAAGCTCTTAGACTCTCTGAGGCACGTGGGAGACTGTGGTGATCCGCCGGAGGCATGGTGTTCTTTGGGGTCTGGGGCTGCGGGTTTCGGGTCCATTGGGGTTTCGGGTGTGGTGTTGGACAAAGATATGTTTTGGGGCTCAACAAAAAGGTCTTAGGATTGCATCAACTCACAACCTGCAATCTAAACCTAAAACCGAAAGACCTGCGAGACCCTAAAGCCCCCAAGCCCAAAATCTTCAATACCCCTAAACCTTAAAAGCCCTAAGTCCATAAAGTCTTAAAGGCTCTCTTAACCCGCATAAGCCCCCGAAAGTCCCTACAAAACCTACTACAAAACCTTTAAGAACCTCTAAAACCCCTAAAGCAACCCGTTCGCCCCTTATTGTTAAAAAAAGAACCTACAAAAAGCCCCACGAACCCTTAAACAAAATAAACTCTACTAAAAGTCCCTGCAAATCCCAGGTGGAGATTCTTTCGAGCGGCGAGGAAAATGGAGTCTTAGCGGCGAGGTCGAGCAGTTCAGCCGAGCCGTTTCTACTATTTGCTTAAGAACCCCCAAACACGAAATAACACTCCCCTTATTGCCCTTAGAGGGAAGAATATTTTATTTTGGGTTTGGTGATTTGACACAAAGTTGTTTATTGCGGTTAAATTAGTGAGTGTACTTGGGCAGTTACTGCAAATTAGGGTCCCTTTCGGGGTCCCCTCAATAATGCGGCACCCCTAAAAAAGGACCTCAGAAGGGACCCTAATTGTTCGAGAACTTTTCACTGGTGCCTGCAAGAATGTTGGTGAGAGGATATCTTGGGTGCCTTTTTGGGGATGCTGGTTATCTAAACCTACTTCATGCAGGTGCTAGGGTTTTAGGTTTTGCAGGGTGTTTAGGGTCGAGTATTTTGGGTTTGCATCGTTCAGGGCGGGGGGGGGGGGGGGGGACGTGCTTCCCGAGTTGTTGGGTCTGGGCCCCTGCCACCTAAGCTAGGACTTCCCCAAGCTCCACGAACGGCTAAAGTCCTTACCCCCAAAACCCAAATTCCCTGAAGCCCCACAGTGTGCACTCCGTAGTATGGCATTTGTGCTGTCTTCAAGATTCAGAAACCACGGCTGACTTTGATTAAGATTGGCAAATCGGCATATCCACGCCCCTCTTGCAGCTGCTGCTCAGACAGGCATCCAGGGTTAGATCAACGGGCTCGAAGCACAAATCACCCTGCACGCCCCGGAGCAGACAAGCTGTAGTTGGCTCTTAAGCTGTCTGGGTTGAAATGAAGCCATGCCCTACCCATCCCAACGTAGAGCTGAGAGGGAGAGCTCTAGACGCTGGCATAGATATCGTTCAAAAAATACGCTTGCGCACAATGGCTCGGAATAAGCGAGCGCTGCTGTTTGTGAGCGTGGCGCTGTTGGCAAGATTGTTGGAGGCCTCGCGCAGCTCAGGAGTGGTTGGGTGAAGGATTTAGTCTCTAAACCCTGAGCCCCTAAACCCAAAAGTACCACCCACTAGACCCTAATCCCAAAACCCGAGCCCAGCACCGCCAAGTCCTTAAGCCCATGCCCTTGAGCCTCTTAAAACCCCCTTTGTAAACCCTGAAATTCACCCCTTGTGAAGTTTGAAGCCAAGCCTGCTTCCCGGGACTTTCGAACAGGCCATGATTCTAGTCAAATCGGGGTGTATGGTGTGTAGGGTCTGGAATTCAATTTGAGGTTGACAAACTCTAAGGAATAGCCCACCCCCCCGCCCCCATCGTCTGGAAACCCCAACCGGGCCAACAAAAGCAAACTCAAAAAGATAAATAGACAAAAGCAGTCATGCTCATGATGATGATAATAGCAGCAGCTTCTGAATCAACGAAAGAACACAGGATGGACCCAAATCCCATGCCCGATTTACTTCAGCGCTGAGTGCCCCATTCCGAAACCCTTTGTATAAGCTCCAATCCTCCATGTACAGCAGGTGGCCTTTGTTGCGACAGTGGGGCGGCCCTTGCGGCCTCTTTGTCTCAACAGTTGCCGAAGTTAGGCATAGCATGGGAGAAGTGGCAAGCGCCATAGAGGCATTTGCTCGCATCGCTCTGTGATACTTTCTCCTTCACGGATGCCTCGCCTCCACTCCCCCCTTCTCTTTCTCTGATCTTTTTTGTTCTCTCGCTCTCTCGCTTACTCTTCCTCTCTCACTCTCTCTCTCTCTCTTGTTTTTTTATTTCTCTCTCTCTCTCTCTCTCTCTTTCTCTTTTTTCACTCGCTCCCTCACTCTGTCCCTCACTCGCTCGCTCTCTGTCTCAGTCCCTCGCCCGGAACATAGACGGAGCATGCAAGCTTAGCTACACCTCGCAAATTCAGCAGTCAGTGCCTGCATCGAGCAGGCAGCCTGCCAGATGAAGAATCAGGGCTACAGTCCGCCACTCCAGCACTACATACAAAAACCAAAACTTTAGCTGCTGAAGTGGCCAAATAGACGGCAGCTTTGGCCGACATAGACTGGGAATGAGAGGGAGGGATTGAGATTTAATAGGCTATGGGAGACCAAGACACCAACCCAGCGGCAACATGAAGATTTCCGAGATCCATGGCCTCAGCCAAGCTTTACCGAGGGCCGCCGCTCTTGCTCGACAAGCAGTTAATGGCAGCGCACCAAGATTTCGCGTGTCCAGCTGTGAGCTTGAAGTGCACCAAGAGTAGCAAGCACGACAGCTGAGGCGTTTTTTTTAGGGTAAAGTAGCTTGTATTACATGAAGAGTATTCCTAGACAGGGTCTTTCCCACACCGTTATCCAGCAATGAGAATCTAAGTCCAGGTTTTTGGTTACTGGCCTGAAAGAGGCCAGCGGAGAAAAGTCCTAAACAGAGCAGCTCCAAAAATCTGGGGCTTGGGAAGAGCTCTGGCCAGAACAGCGCTGGCCATAGTCTTAAGCAAACCCAAAGCCCACAAAGTGCAAGTTCAAGAAAGCCCTTTGAAATCCGACCAACGCTGCCATGGAAGCTCGCAGTTTGGCTCGGGAAAGGCCAAACCTCTTAGAGTACGAAGACTTTGTCTTGTAGCACACACTGCATCTAAGAATCTTACCAGAGAAGCCTTCTCTGTTTAAGGGAAAGCTGAAGCTCTGAACCCTAGACCGTATAGCCCCTTGAAGACCTACAACTTCCACCCGTCGAGTTTTCTGCCAGGCCCTAGTGACGACCGCGCACTGTCCGGCCCCAAAATTCGGGGCTCGCCTCTTTGCACATGTTCTTTAGTTGTGTTTTCATTGCAGCTCCTGCAGATGTATGGGTGTAGACTCATCGTTTAGGTGCCCGAAGCCATAAGGAGTAAATTCAACCATGGAGACCACCAAAAGGGTCCATAGCTTTGGGTCAGCCCCAAATCCTCAGATGATGAAGGAGACGTGCCCGAGGCCTGAATAACAAAGTTCGCTTTGGCTACCAGGTTTCCCCCATGGTTTCCCGAGTCTTGACTAAGCACGTTCCTTGGTGCTTATGCGCAGCCTTGGCAGGAACGTTCATGTGGGAGCTGAGAAGAACATGACATGTTGTTTTGCTAAAGCAGTCGTTGCTGCAACACCCGTGGCCATGCTAGGGCGCAACTAGGGGAAGCATGAAGGCACCACACCGACAGCAACCCTGCATCCGCTCTCACTCGCCCGCAACACAGGTCCCAGCGTGGTCGCTCCAACATCCCTTTGAATGCCGTGGCGCCGCTCGTCAACACAGCTTTTAGAGGAGTTAACTTCTTCTGAGTTTTTGTCTGCCTTTTGGTGTCTCCAGCTGGGAAGGGCATGACGAATGGGGAACTGTGCGTCGCCCTACTTGGAGCTTTCAGCTCTGCGTGGTCGCATTTCCTGCCGAGGGCCATGTAATTGCAGGACATGGAAGTGCGAACCCTTCCTTCAAAGAGCGAACGCCGGGGGATTGGGGCTTTGGGGTGGGGTTTGGGTGGTCCTTGGCACACTGGCGGGAAGCTTACACTAGGAAGGAGCAGTATGTCTTGGAGAAAAGGGCACAAGCACTGTCGAGGCAGGTTCTTTAGTCATCTGGGAGCTTTCTCCCACCTTGCCTGCACAGTGTGCAGAAAGGGCCCAACAGTATATGGACCACACCCCACATATACTAGAATCCCCTAGAAGGTACCCCCCCCCCCCCCCCAAAAGGTTCACCCCCAAATAACCTTTCAAAATCGCCAGCATCCTCGCCCCCTGCGCACCTTTAGGCCCTGGCTAAGTTTAGCCGACTCTAAGTCTGTAGCCCGAAGCCTTGTCGGATGGCTCTCTTTCAATGTTTCGGGTTTTGGGCAGCTGCATAGCGTTCTGTGACCAGAAGATCTTGGGACACATGGCATGACGGTTGCTCCAAAGAATACGATGTGGCTTTCGAAGACGTAGCAGGGCTGAGTATGGTGTAGTGGGGTGTAGTTTTGT